TATAGCCAATACACTGAAAATGGCAGGCATTTAAATATATATATAAATATATATAAAAAGTGTTCCTAATTCCTGAGTTACTAGTGAAATGAATTTGACAATTGTAATAAAAAAAATGTTTCAACCCTTTTAAATAAGGTGTGTACTATTTTGGTCTGTAATATATAACACCTAGTCAGTTCTAAGTGATGAGAAACTACTTCCACTTGTGCTATATACTTGGCAAATTTTTACAACCCTGAATACAGGAGGCAGTTCAGCACGTAGGGGTAGGAGGTTTCTTTTCATACACTCAAGCACGAGATACTAATACAAAATTGTATTTTCTTACCTAGTGGAAGTCAGTAAAATGACTGAAAATACCTAGTGAATGTACAGTTTTACTTTCATATCCCTCTTTAAAACAGCTTTAGAAGTGACTTGTATTTCCTAGTCAATATTTCATCTGTATAAATACATTTGCAACAGATTTTTTTTTTTTTCCCAGAAGAGCCAAACTTTGAGTTTTATGTCTGTTTGTCATTGATGAATTTCAATAAATCTTTTTATACAATTTTTCTGTGGCTTCTTTGAGTAAAACGGGCCACTGGGAAGGAATCACGTACCTTTTAAAAAGGCATTTACTAGTCTGTTCTGGTCGATTCCCTGATGTTTTTAGTAGCTCGATGGGACTTTTGCTCCACACAAACTACTCTTGGCCACAGCTGGGTGAAAGCAAGGGAGAGGTGGTGGCTTTAATGCAAATAATGCTCTGCCATTTTTCTTTCAGAATGAGGATTTTTTTCTGGGTGCCCGGCATGTTTGTTGCAGTTCACCATGTTCGTTTCTGCTCGTCAGTCCTAGCCTTGTTTACCCAGGCCCGGAAGGAAGAACTCTGGAATTCCTTCATCCGTGTGAAGCGCTGTGGTTCGCTGGGCGAGTTCTGGGTCAGTATATCAAGGAGCTTTGTGCAGGGTGGGCTGTGGGTGGGTGTTTTAAGAGGAAATCCAACTGGGCGAACTGCTCCCTCCCCGGCCAGGATCTGCTGCCGTGGAACCAAAACGGAACTGGCGGGGCAGGGACAGGCTCCCCCAGAGCAGACAGCAGCCGCCAGCGCCAGGGAGGACGGGCAGGGCCCAGGGCTGCCACCCAAACGCAGCCCTTGTGTCACATTAAACCAGCTTAGCCTAAGGCTTGGCTTTGGAAAACTCGGTTTTCCAAAGGCACAGCTTCGACTCGAGCTGTTTGAAGCAGTCGGCAGGAACCGGGCCTGACCTTTCCGGCACGATGAGCCTCTCTCGGTCCCAGAGACACCCTGACGAACATCCCCTTTGCATGCAGGAGATGCAGCAGGCTCATGCGGTGATGCTGAAGTGACATTTGGTTTAACCTTTGTCACCCCGTGGGCTCCAGCGAGCCGCCGCTGACTTGCAAAGCAGCCGTTACTCTTCGCTCGGAAACCCTTCGGCTCTCCACCGGCTCGGCAGCCAACGGCCCAGGTCTCCTGGAAGTGACTTGTCTCTCCATCCCGTTAATTCTTTCAAAGCTTCCCTGGGAATTCATTACTTTTCCCAAAGAAAACTCCGTCAGTCAGACCTTTGCTACCCCTGCCTGGTGTTAGCCGCCTTCCCTGCGAAGCAGAGACCTGGTCACCGTTCGGTTCCGCTGGAGCGCTGACCCCTGGGAGATGAGAGGGAAGAGGGGAGGAAGCGAAGCGCCGTCTGCCTGCCTCCTGTCACTGCAAACAAAACTGAGGCTGGCCCAAGTGGATAATTTTGTCGTTATTTCACAGTAGTTTTGTGCCGAGGACCGAGTTCTCCCAAGTGCTCCGTGCGTACGTGGGCACTGAGGATACCCAGCGGCTTGGAACAAACGCGCCAAACCCCAGCATGTTATAACAGCTCAGGAAAACCCGGGTAGAAACAGTCAGAACCGAGTAACAGGGGAGTTCAGGTCCTTCAAAGGCCAGGCTTTGTGTGCCTTTGTTCTTTCTGCTCTCCGCTGGCCTGTGAGCCGCACAGTGATCCGAGGAGCCCTGGTCGTGCAGCGGTGCGGGGCCGGTAGGTCTGCCCTGGGGATGGAGCCTGGTGGTCTCCAGGTGCCCAAACTCCCGTCATCCTTACGTGTAGCGTGAGAAGTTGTCGGGTGGTGGGAGAAACCTCTCCTTCGTGGAAAAGCAGGGCTGTCCCTTGATCATCGGGATCCCAGGAGTTTGTTCCAGGGGTGCTTTATTTTGCCTGGCTGGCCCAAACCTCTTCTAAAGCTCAACCCCCCTAAAGTGTCCCGCGAGAGCTTTCCGGCCTCATTTGTGACCCCTTTTCCCAGGAAAACCTCAGTCCCGGGTTGCCGGGGGTGGCGCGGTGCCGGTCAGCGAGCCTGTCGGGAACAAATGCGTCTGGATTCCTGCCCGGCTGAAGGTGTGGGGGCGGCACATCCATAGGGCCGTCGTAGCGGGGTGACCTGGGTGTTTGCGTTTCCGGCGCCCTTGAGGCCAGCCTCTGGGTGGATTTGGTAATGCTTCCTTGTAGGATTTGTGGTGGTTAAAGCAAGGGTGTGGGACACTGGGGAATGTCGGGGAGGCTTTCTAAGCCCGAATAATTGCCAACGTTACCTGATGATACAGGAGGAAGGGGATAGTTGGGGGAAGCTATTCCTTCATCCCGTTGCCCAAGGTGGGGCTGGGGACTTGCTTGGCCACGTACATATTCCACTCGCTTTGAACTGAGATTGGGGTGTATAGAGGGGTAAATCCGCTGGGGTGCAGCCAGATGGAACAACCGACCATCCTTTTGGAAGTGGAACCCCAAACGGTGATAGTGCAGGGTCTCACCCTGCCCGGCGATGCTTTGGCTGGCATCAGATCGCTGCCCTACTCCTCCGCAGGACCCTCCCTGCTTCGACCGGGACTCACGATCGTCTCCTCGGAGATGCCATGCATTTCAGCCGGAAGGAATCCTCCCCTGCGGAAATCCACGAGTCCCTGAAGCTGTCCCTGCCCGTGGCAGGGGGTGGGACAGGATGGGCTTTAAGATCCCTTCAACCCAAACCATCCTGTCATTCCATGATTAAGGACCCAGCTGCACAGAGCTCACTCTCCCGTGAAAATAACTGTTTCTCAGCTTTCTGGAGGTCCCGCCGGCTTTACCTGTTGTCGCTCTGCCGGTACAGCTCCACCCGCAGCAAATGTGCGGCCTGGGCAGAGGTTTGGGCTGGCAGCAGCCAAGGGGGATGCCCCGGCGCTGGCTTTGCAGTAATGGGAACCCCCCCCC